TTATAACTGGGTAGTTAACCTGTAGTAGTGGTTGTCTTCGGATGTGATGGGTGCAGTAAGTGCAAGAGAGTTTAAGAAAGAGCTTGATAAACGTTTTAGTTATAAATACACACTATCTTGACCAAAATGTTTGCATACTTTGTAACAAATAAGATCATTATTAATAAGATGGAACACAAATACACTGAGAAATGCATTCTATATTAAACAACTACATATTTAATTTGTATAGTGAAACAGGTTCTATGGACATCATGAACAATTTATCACAACAGCAGATAATTTTATCAGATACTTGTAGAAAGATGTGTAATTCAGCATTTCACCTATCAGAACAAAATCTTACCAAATCCCATATATAATGAAAAATATAACATAAAGTTATTGTAAATAGCATCTGTAACCTTATGTAAGTTCAAAATAAACATTCATTACTTCGTTGGTCCTCCTCTTACTCTAATAACCTCCGCAAGGTGACGTGGAATGCTGTTGATGAGGTTATTGATGTAATCCACCTTGATTTTATCCCAACTTGTTGCAAGAAGATGCTGCAACTCAGCTACAGTAACTGGTTTAGGATCGTGGTTAGCAATTTTCCTGCTCAGTTCTGCCCAACAGTTCTCAATGGGGTTACAAGCTGGAGACGTTGCTGGTCGAGATAATCCTGTACAATACGTGCACTATGAACAGTGACATTGTCATCCTGGAACACAAATATATTGCCAAACTTTGCCCTAGCAAATGAGAGAAATATCTTATCCATGTGATGCATGTAGGAGGCGCCATTGGCATTTCCCTGGAGGATATAAAGACCAGTTTTTCTACCATGATGAAAAGCTGCCCCAACACGTACTGCACCACCTCCTATATGCTCCCTGTGGAAAAGACTGTCTTCCCTCATCTGTTTCTCCAGGTAAATGACGAAGAAGAATCCTACCATCATTTTTAACAAGCCGGAAACAGGACTTGTGTAAAAAGATGGCATGTTGCCAGTGTCCTAAGTATAAGATGGCATGCTGTCTTGCCCAAATATTATGATGATGGTGGCGAATTCTGGTTAGTATTGGTTTGTAGATAGCCCTTCTTGCAAAATAACTTTTTTTTTTGGTCAGTCTTCTATTCACTGTTCGTCTGTTAACCTGATCAAAACACGATAATTTCGACCAGTAGTTTTTCGGCGTCTACCAGTAGACTTTCCTGGAACAACGTTTCCTGTAGTCTGTTAACGATTCTGATACAGTACAGTTGGGGTAGTCTACTGTTTTGACAATGTCCGTTTGCTTCATGCCATTTCTGGACAGTTGAGCAATTTGATGCCCTGTAACTTCTGACACGTGACGAGGCATGACTCTACATTAAGTATAGAGAAATTTCTGAACAAAGCATTGATCTGTTTCGAAAAAAAATTATACCAAAAGCACACCATTTTATACAAAATAGGTGTGTTTGTGTGTTTTGATGAGCAAATTCTAAAAACAACATCAGACCAGAATAACAACTCGTACATGTTTGTCCAATCATACGCTACCTTGTCTGGTACTACTCGGGCATTTACTCAATAACTACTCTATGCATGTAGACACTAGCATCAATATAGAACAGTATGCAAACATTTTGGCCAAGACTGTGTATAGTTTAGTGGATGAAACAACTTAGATAGACCAATAGGTCCCTTGTTGTCATTAAATGTTATTTCTTAAATGAACACGTAATCGTAATAAGTTCGTAACTTTTTCAAATAAAAATAGTTATTCTATTTGTATAATATTGATCATTTTCGTAACTTTCAATTAATTCTCCATGATTAGTAATATTTAGTTTAGTTAATTTTCTTATTCAATTCTTGGTTAGATACAGTCACATGTCAATAGTTCCTTAACAAAATGTTACTGTTTTTTCGTAATATTTTATACTTACTATTATAATTATGATAGCTTTATATTAGAAGAACTGCTTTGAGTGGTAACATGACTTAGAGTTTCTAATCTATATACACGCAAACATTGTAATAACTCAATGATTAACTGAAGAGAGGATAGACTAATAGCTCGTAGAAATATTCGTCCATCATCTTGAGTTCCAGAATGATGATTAATTGTTACAGAAACACTCACTCCAAGATATAAGACGAATATTTTCTGTGTATTAATGTGTCCTGAAGATGAGTTCCGTGAGGGTTTCTACCAATTGAAATATATGCTTGCTTCTTGAAGCTTTCACTGCCTTCATAAACACTATTTAGTAATTAACTCAACGATTCCTAAATCATTAAATCTTTTATTTTCCGAAGTGAGAGCAAGAAACCTCTCATTTTTTGTGAGTGCTTATAATTTCACGAAAACAAAACAGTATAACAAAAGGATATAAGGAGCAACGAAATAAATTAACGACAATACGTAACTGATTAATTTTATTGTAAATAATATAATTCCAGCATAATAACTATCAAACCTGTCATTCCTATTGTTTGGTAAGATCCGAGTCATCTACGAGATAAAAAACAAATCAAGTAAATACTTGTTACACAGAAGCATCTTTCCCACAAACCTAAACTAACTTAACTCTTTCGTTGCCACATATATAGAAAAACAACTGTCTCAGAGCCGAGCTTATTTTGTATACACAATAAAATTTGATTGAGGAGAAATGCCCAATATTCATGATGTCACGTAATTCAAAACTCATGTGACCGTGCTCTAGATAGAGACTTGTATGTATCCATGGTAACGAAAGAGTTAAAGGTTGAGTAACAATTACTTAATATAAGCAGCGTTTAATATTATCGTTTTCTTCCAAACTGCTGTGTAAAAAATACTGTAGATTTTGTTGGCAAAGCATTATATTCATCAAAGTATACCTGTTTTTGCTCAAATTACATATTAAGTCAGCAGAAACGTTCACAGATCTTAAACTGATATGCCATTGGCTATTTTCACGAGCGGCTTCGCATGTATTCCAGTATATTTCACCTTTTAATTCTTTTTTCTTTCATTTTAATGTGTATTTGCACTGAGGCTAAGTTGAGCGATAAGAAAAAGAACATAAAGCTTGGTGCTAATAAACTGAAATAGAGAATCCAAGGCTTTTAAGATATAATTTTATTTCATTACTTACTACAGTTTAATCATACCAACCATATAATTTTACCAAACGTAAATACAGCAAGTAAATAAATACATACAATATATATATTAGAAATCAACAAAGAAATAATTAAACCAACGTGTGTATTATGGCGTTTTTCATTTTGCGAGATTGAATAATATTGCATCCATTCCTTCAATTTTACGTTTTAACGATAATTTTGTTTCTCAAATTTATGTACTTTAACATATCTGATTTTGCTTATTTGGTAAAGATAAAACCAATTATTAAAGGGAAAATATTTGACACTGATTACCACATAAAGCGTTACATCACTCAGCCTCTAAAAGTTGCCCATTCTAATTTAGAATATCACTGATCTGATCAATTCAACAAACATTTCGTCCAAGAAAGATTCTACTTTTAACACTAATGAGAGTCAAAAAAGTAGTTAAAATATATCATATTTTTTTTCTACAAGTCAGCATAAAGAGAATATGAGGGGCAATAAAATATGCATCAATAAACAGTGATGAAAACTGGAGTATCATCGTCTATATCATTTAACACTGTTTTTGTACTGATTTTATCGCCCCCTTACGACTAATATAGCGCTTATAATTATATTTTACTTATGCCTATCATATCGATAAACAGATGATGCAGCAGCAATGGAGACGAAAAGTACCATACATGTATCGTTCCGTATGACACTATTCGAAAGCCTTGAAACGTAAAGTAGTTATTCATTAGCTTTAACCTATGAGAAAACACTTCTAACACACAAACACACACACTCACACACACACGTGACTTACCAGAACCAGTAACCTCAGGTGACCTATGAGAAAACACTTCTAACACTCTCACACACACACACACACACACACATCTATATAAGAGGGGTTTGAAGACAGGTGTAAAAGTTATTAGTGGTAGATTATGATTCTTGTTTTTCTTGAGCGTTATCTTCAAAGTATAGTATTAGTTTTTTGTGTGTGAAAATATACAAATATCGAACATCTAGAAGATGTGACTGATATTAGCCATAGCCTGTAGTTTCAGGTTTCAGCTTTAGCCATAGCCTGTAGTTTCAGGTTTCAGCTTTAGCCATAGCCTGTAGTTTCAGGTTTCAGCTTTAGCCATAGCCTGTAGTTTCAGGTTTCAGCTTTAGCCATAGCCTGTAGTTTCAGGTTTCAGCTTTAGCCATAGCCTGTAGTTTCAGGTTTCAGCTTTAGCCATAGCCTGTAGTTTCAGGTTTCAGCTTCATTTTACCACAGTGGTTAAGTGAAAATATACAAATATCGAACATCTAGAATATGTGACTGATATTAGCCATAGCCTGTAGTTTCAGGTTTCAGCTTTAGCCATAGCCTGTAGTTTCAGGTTTCAGCTTCATTTTACCACAGTGGTTAATCATGCGTGACACAATATCTCCAATGAAAAACACAAGTCAAACATTAAATCGGAAAGAAAAATTAAAGTAATCATGCTTCTTGAAGCTGTGTTCGTTCATTTTCTTTATATATGATATGAAGAAGAATAGCTCTTATGTATTCCTATATTTTTTACAGTGGTATACGTGTCTGTTTGACAAATATCCAAGATCTATTATCTATTATAAATTATTAAAGCTTTTCACATATATCTTGGTGATAAGCTCTCATGTACACGACTCTCGTATAAAGACACTGTAGTTTCTCAAGTCTATCCGAGTAACTAATGTCCATGAACGCGACTCGCATATAAATTCACTATATGTTTTAATATTTCCCCGTGACAACCTTTCGTGGCTTACTTAGTCAGCCATTAAAGCTTGTAACGCGTAAGACAATGTAATAAGCCTTACGTACAAATATTTGCACAATTCTAACATGCTGTTGAAAGAATATTTTTGAATGATATGTCAGACAAGAGATAGTTCTGGAAATTTCTAGGTGTAGAACAAAATCTGTATTTTTACTTCTTTCCTTACAACGATCATCAGGCTTTCAGTCCGTCAGCTGCCAACAACAACAAAGAAATAACGTTAATTCAAAGATCGGCTCCAGTGTGTGGTCTAAGAGCTTTTATTTTTAAAGTAAAAATAATATTGCTGGTATAGTAATTATCGTATAATTAATGCATAGAAATAAAGTAAAATACACACACCTATATATAATACCACATGATGGACCATCCTTCAAAAGATAAACAAAATAAACAGCAAGTAAACAAAGAAAATAAATAACTTTAGTAATTACCTCTAAGAGATTATATTTTTTTGCTTAATGAAAAAAACCATTTAATTTTAACTGGATTCCTGTTCCTTACCTTTTAATAAAAACATCTGACACAACCATCACAACTATTCCTGTCACTATAATCATATGGTTTCTTGAATCACGTGGACTTTTTCCATTGTTTTTCGGAGCTGTACCTGGAAAGTGCAATATGCAAAGCGCTGTTCATATGAATTAATATTTATCTACGACGAAACGAATACTTCAACTTAATATTTTGAAACATAACAGAAAAACCAAAGAGAAAACACCATCGTCGCAGAGTGAACAGTATACTTAATTAAGCATCCTTATCAGAGATAAATCGGTATATCTGATTCAAATAGGTTATAATAATAGTTACATAAAACATAACATGTTAAGAGATTTCCTGTATAATGTGATTTATTTTATTTCTTATTATAACTTTACTAGGCCGGGTTGGTCTTTTGGCATAATGCTTGAACTTCGAATCTGAGAGTTCATGGTTCCCGCCCCGTTGCTAATAAAACGCGTTCTTTAAGAGCTATAGTCAAAATTTACTATTGACTAGTCTGTCAGTTCCAAACTAGAGACGGCTATGCGCAGATAACAATTTGTGTAGCTAAGCTCGAAAATTCTAAAAAAGAGACCAGCAAGTAACTTTTCTGCCATAAGATTTAGAAACTCACATAATTAGATTTAATTAAACAGTTTTAATGCTTCTATGAGATGAAATGCTACAGAGATATGTACAGAAAGTAAAAGCTATGGTTATAAAACAGTGTTATTAATCGGTAACCCGGATACTCGATTGAAACTGAATTATGACAATGTGAACATCAAACCAAGCTGATGTAAAAATAGTCTAATCATAATAGTGTATCAGGTTGATTAAATACACTTACGAAGAAGTCAATAAATAGCTTACTTGATTAAAAACTGACATCCTAGTTTTAAGTCAATTGGTATTCAGAATAAACGAAAAATCGTCTTGCTAATGATTCATACGACTTTTGAAATTGTAACGTTTTTGTGTTTCTAAAAAAAATTGTTTTGTTTAAAAGCTATAAATTTTCAACGTCTAAATATCAAAACTTTATCAACCAGGATACCTAACTGATGAAGCATTATATTCTAATCTTTATAAGTAAGAACATAAGAACAGGGGTCGCGAGTTCGAATCCCGTCCCCGAACATGCTCGCCCTTTCAGCTATGAGGGCGTTATAATGTGACGATCAATCCCACTTTTCGTTGATAAAGAGTACCGAAGAGTTGGTGGTGGATGACGTTGAGTAACTGCAATCCCTCTAGTCTATCAGTTCTAAATTAGGAAACGTTAGCACAGGTAGCCCTCGAGCAACCCGAGACGAAATTCAACAAACATAATTAAATTATATTTAATTAGTTGTACTCATTACAGGTTTCATTTTTATTTTTGATGTAATTAGGTAGCTTACTCTGATCGGAAGGTCGTATTAATTAGGATATTTTCTTTTCTCAGTTATAAATGTATAGACAATCAAGATAAAAAGAAAAATCGTATGACGGCTGGCACAGACACTTTGAATATAATACTTCACAATGTGAGCTTAAAATGTGTAGACCTGTACTAAAACTTATTCATGTAACATCATTTATCAACCTCGTTACGAGATGGAACCGCAAAGAACATAACAGAACATATATCATGTGAGACATGCAAGGGGTTCCTCATTATAACTTTTGATCGGCAGACCAAACCGTTCATTTATCGAGTCAACCGCCAAGGGACGTGGCTTTGAAACTGTGGAATGAAGTGTTACAGACCAGTGATAAGAATTTAAAAAACGGGAACGTTAATGTCATAAAAAAAAACTCGCAAAAAGCGCGAGATTTCAATTTCATCGAAAGAACTCTTCAAATACTCTTAACAAGAAGGGTGTTCTACAATCGTTCTTTCTGGCCTCTTACCTATGGTATTTTAAATAGGATTTTCAAGTCATTATTTTAACGTCCTTAGACGGATTTTTGATAGCCACCAGCTACTGAAAAACTGTTCGTTATGTATAAGGACAAGTTGTATTCACCTTCAGAAGAAAAACGAATTTCACATAATTATTTGTGCCTCAGTTTGACTTGAAAATTCTGACTATAAAATGAAGCTTCTTTATCCATCATGGGGTTATAGGAAGTAAATACACAGATGAATATAACCCTAAATGTTATCAGGTTATATATATAAGTTGGAAATATAAGAACAAGGCTAGACTATAAAATAAAACTTCTTTATCCATCATGGGGTTATAGGAAATAAATACACAGATGAATATAACCCTAAATGTTATC